ACCTCCTTTGGATGCAACCTAAGAGCAAAGGGGCAGCATCACCTCCATCACCTCCTTTGGATGCAGCCCGAGAGCAAAGGAGCAGCATCACCTCCATCACCTCCTTTGGACGCAGCCCAAGAACGAAGGGGCAGCATCACCTCCATCACCTCCTTTGGATGCAGCCCAGCCCAAGGGGCCGAGCCCTGCAGGTGTGGTATGGATGGGGCTGGAGGAAGATGCTTTCCAAAGCCCAGAACCCCCTTTTCCCAGCAGGAACACCAGCCCTCCATCACCCATCACCCAACAGCCACCTCCACCGCAGCGCAATCACTGCCTGGCACTTACATAGGGAAAAGCAAGGTGGGGGGGAAGCCAAGCCCCACTTTTTGTTCACATTCAGCAGCGATAGGAGAGGGGCCTGGTGGATGCTGGGAGATTTTAATAAAGAAGACAGGGCTGTGAAATGCAATAAAGGAGTTCATCAGATTATGTGCTGATGGCTCCGTGCCACCGCGCTGGCAGCAATATCCTCACAAGGAGGGGGTTAACCCCTTGAGGGACCCGATTGAATCTGACAGCGGCGCTTCACTCCTGCCCCTTGCATATTTATGAAGCTCCCTGGCTTTGGGAGCCTCTTTGGTGTGTGGGGGGGTGTGATTGTGGGGCTGCCCTGGTCCCCGTTTCCATCGATTTGGGGGTGTTTTCAGCATCAGGTTTGGGGCTGATGCGAACAGAGCAAGGCTGGGAGTGCTGCACCAAGCAGGACCACACGTGGGGGAGATGCAGGGGTTTGGGTTCCTTTGGAGATGCTGCTCGTGCTGGTGGATGCTGAGCTCTTTGCTGCCTGCTCCATCCCCAAACCCAACTTCTCTCCTAGTGCACACTGGGGGAGGTCTGGGGGCATTTGAGTCGTGGGCATTGTGGCAAGAGGCACAGGAGTGTACCACCACCGTTATAAGGCTCCTTCCTGGCCTTAAATCCACCCATGTAGAGCCACAAAGAGCAGTGGAGGGGATGGAGGATAAAGGCAACCGGTGCTCCCAAATTGCTCCTTCTCCCTCTGAGCCAGAAATGAAGCAGAAGGAAATACACCCCCCCCCCCCTTTCCTTAATCCCCTGGTGCCATTCCATAGGGCTCAGCTGGGGTGTCCATGGCTGTCGGGGGGGAATGAAGGACCGGATCGTGCTGCTCCTGCCTCCTCGTGCCCCTTGGGTATCCCCATCCCACCCCGAGCCCCCCAGCCCCGAAGGTGGCCGGGGGCTTTGCGGGTTGCACCTCGCTCTTTGAGGCCCCCACAATGGACTCTGCAGCTCAGTGTTAAGTAAACAGCCCTTCCTTAAGCCTGCCCCGCTTCATTTTGACTAAACCCTAACCAAATAAGCTGGCTCCACGAAGCCCAGGCTTCCTTCATTATTCCTTGCTTCATTAACACCTCTTAATCCCACCCCCCCCCCCATTACCCTTCCCAGGCCTGGGGCAGTGTCTTCTCTGTGCAAGAGGGGCTCTCAACTGCTGCTCAGCGCATCCCATCCCCATCTGGAGAGCTGGGATGTGGCTTCTCCTCCAGAGCCATGGGCAGGGAGAGCCGGGACAGGGATGCTCGGTGAGGATGAAGGGAGAATCAAGCACCTGGGGTGTTTTACCAGGGCTAAAGGAAGTCCAGGAGATGCTCGAGACGATGCAGGAAGGTCTCAGAGCTCCTCGTCCATGCGTGAAAGCCGGATGGATGCAGGCGGTGGCTTTGCTGCCATTCCTCTTCCTGCTGCTCCCCGCTTCCAGGGGGAAGGAATCACATCAGGGTGCTCCAAACCTGCTTTGTTAGGGAAGGAGAAGCAGCTTGTTTAAGGGTACAAAGAACACAGGGTATATACACAGAATACAGAACAGGTAACTCCATGCTGTCTCCAAGGATGTGCAGGCTGCTCTGCTGCCCACAGCATCACTTCTCCTGCCTTCGGTGTCCATGGGGGTGAGGCTCTTCTCTGGGAGCAAGGAGAGACCTCCCTTGTGTCCCTGCTGGTCTTCAATGCACTCAGAATCATGGAATCATGGAATGGGATGGGTTGAAGAGGAGCTGAAGATCATCCAGTTCCAACCCCCTGCCATGGGCAGGGACACCTCACCCTAGGCCATGGCACCCAAGGCTCTGCCTTGGACGTTGCCATTGATGGAGCATCCACAGCATCCTTGGGCAACCCATCCCAGTGTCCCAGCACCCTCACAGGGAAGAGCTTCCCTTTATCTCCAAGCTGAACTTCCCTGTTTCAGTCTGAACCCGTCACCCCTTGGTCCTATCCCTTTGCTGGCCCCCAGCACCCTTTTCATCCCCCCGTGTCGCCGCTGCTCCTCAACGCACTTGGGAACCTCTCCTCGAGCAGCAGCTCCACACATCCCATAGCCACATCCACAGCTCCCAAAGCTCCTCGGGAGCCCCCGCCAGCGAGGGAGAGATGCGCTTGGTTCCTATGGCAACGCAAACAATATTACCTTGGCTTAACCGGATTCCGGCAATATTAAAACCAGGCTCTTTAGGAATTCCTGGTGTTGGAAGGGGCTGAGAATTTTAATTTCGTGTAATGCGAGCTGACACCGTGGTTATGAGCTGCTTTGCTGGGTGCTTGCTTCAATTAGCACAAAGCGGAGGGGATTTGCTTTCGGGGCTTAGCTGGGAGATGCAGGCTGCGGGTCCCGCGATGCCCGGAGCTCTATTGAGTTAGCGGCGCTTCCCTCCCTTGGGAGGTGCCAAAGCCGGGAATTTCCATGGAATTCTGGGCCCGTGACAGCGCCTATAGGGAGCGAACCCCAACTGCCTCATCCCCGGGAGGCAGCTCGGTGCCTGGCGGGTGAAGGGGAATCCGTGCCCAGCTCCAGCATCCCTTCCCATGCATCCTTGTCTGCCGCTATGGAGTCCCAGGTTGGAAAGGAGCTTAAGATCACCCAGCTCCATCCCCCTGCCACAGGCAGGGACACCCCCCACTAGGCCCAATGACTTCCATATTCCCAATGGGCTCAGCCTGGCTCCGTACGGGAGCTGCTCCAGTGCCTGCTCATCCTCATGGCCGGCTCCAACAGCTCAATGGAAGCCCATCACGCTCACAGCTCTCCTCTCCCTGCCTTGGCTAAGCAAGATTCCGGATGTTTTCCCCAAGGAATTGGGGATAGCAGAGGCTGGAAATGTGAAAGGAGGCAGGGAATGCTCCAGTATCCATAGGGATCAAAGGAAAGGAAACACAAGCGTGGAACAAGACAGGGACTTTTCCATCAGTGTCTCCCTAACTTATCCAGTTCCTTCCTTGGAGAAGGGTCAGGGTGTTGAAGGAATGCTTCTGTTTGTCAGGTCTATGGGTGCCTCTGGATGTGGGGCTCCGGGGTGGAACTACCGTGGGTGTAACATGGGAGTCATCCGGCCTCTGAGAGCTATGGGAAGAGCAGATGGGAGCTTGGGGCTGGCTTGTCTCAAAGCCAAAGCAGGTTTGTGTCACCAGATTCAGCATCCACTGAAGGGTGGGAGCCTTCCTTGGGGTACTTCTCCCATCTGGGATGCAAGGAAAAGCCGGGGTTCACTTCCCAATGGGCTGCGTGAGGGATGAGGAGCAGGAACCTGGTAAGAGGAATGGGTTGAGTGCCCACAGGTGGCATCACAACCATAGGAGGCTCGCTAGAAGAGGAAGACAAGACCAAGTCTGCTTGCTGGGCATGGAATAAAGCAAGATCCCAACTGGAAGTAAGGCCTGGAGGAGCGACTTAGCCTCTGGAACCTCTTCCCATTGAGACTCCTTCACTTGGGGCCCGGCCCTGGCCTTTGCTGCACATCCATCCCCATCAACCAGGCTTGAGGGGGGAATCCCTGCGCCTGATCCTCGGGGTTGCAATGAGTTCCATCCCATCAGCTTCCATGCGGGATCGAAGGCTGGGCACGTGCCTCGTGCTCCTGCTGACCCCAGCTACCTGTGATCATGCACTGGCTCTGTTGCTGGGTCCTTTTTATCCCTAGCCCTCCTTCGCTTCTGCACTGGAGGGATGCTGGTGTTAAGAAAGGGACAGGTTCGGACTCAGCCCAGTTTCTGCTCCCAGTTCACTCCTTCCTAAGAGAGATGTAGTTAAAAGGCTGCTCCTTGCTCCCATCTCAACCCAAATTCCATGCTTTTATTCCAAGCGTGCCTTCCGGACAGACAAAGAGGGGAAAGAGGGACCGGGGCGGGAGGAACACGCACGCCAAGCAGCCTCAACACAAAGGGGGCAGAAATCCCACCCCATCCCACGTGGAACGTCCCAGGCCCTCCGGCCACTGCCCACCCCAAAGCCACGGTGGTCTGTGGAAGGGCTGAGCCCGGCCCTGTAAAGCCTCTTCATCCTCCTCCATGGAGTTTGCCAGGAGGATTAACCCAGGCTTGTTGGCAATCCCAGTTTATGAGTTCCCTGCTGGTGGGGAAGCTCCTGTGTGTTTAAACAACAGCCTAATTAATCCCTGTTTTATTACTTTCTCTTGTCAAGTGGCTCAAGAGAAGCTGTCAGCACCTCTCCCGCTTGTTTAGAGCCCCGATTGCTTCATCACCACCATCTGCTCGGCACACGGATGCTCAGCGCCCGCTTTGCCGTGGGGCACAAGCAGCATCCCCGATGCGTGAGGCTCCCCGCATCAGGCCCCGTGGATGGGTCTTCCATAGGGAGAACTTCCATGGGAAGGGCAGCAAACAGCCCTGCAGAGGAAGACGGCACCTTGAGCTCTGTCCTGGCGTGTTGCTCCCTGCTACGACGGAGGCTCGGGAAGCCCCAAAAGACATTTGGGGTCATGGAATCATGGTGTGGGTTGGGTTTAAGGGACCTTAAAGCTCAACCCTCTGCCATAGGCAGGGCCAGCTTCCCCTAGAGCAGGTTCTCCAGCGTGATGGGTTGATTTGGGATGTGCCAACGCGGCCCCAAACCTCCACTTAAGCAACCCCGTTGGCTTCCTGAGCCCCCAACCCGGGTCCGACCCTGCCTTCTAAAGCCTTTAACCCCCAGGACTCCCCCGCAGGCTCTTCCAGACCAAGTGCAGCAGCTGCTTGAAGGCGATCGCCCCCTCCGAGCTCATCATGAGGGTGCTGGAGAACGTCTACCACGTGCACTGCTTCTACTGCTGCGAGTGCGAGCGGCGCCTGCAGCGCGGCGACGAGTTCGTGCTCAAGGAAGGGCAGCTCCTGTGCCGCAGCGACTACGAGAAGGAGAAGGAGATGCTGAGCGCCATCAGCCCTGCGCCCACCGAGTCCGGTGAGGGATGAGGGGCAGCCTTGGAAAGGGCAGGTCCTGCTCGGTTATGGGGCTGGGTGTGAAGGGAGGTGATGGAGATCAGTGGAGGCTGTAGCATCTTCTCCCCATGGCAACAGAGGGGTACCAGGCTGCTGAGGTCCCCTTGTGCGATGCAAAGACCACTGGATGGGCTGATCTGAGATGTTAGAGGAAGGGTGATGAGGGGCAGCCTTGTAAAGGGCAGGTCCTGCTCGGTTATGGGGCTGGGTGTGAAGGGAGGTGATGGAGATCAGTGGAGGCTGTAGCATCTTCTCCCCATGGCAACAGAGGGGTACCAGGCTGCTGAGGTCCCCTTGTGCGATGCAAAGACCATTGGATGGGCTGATCTGAGGCGTTACAGGAGGGGTGATGAGGAGGAGCCTTGTAAAGGGCAGGTCCTGCTCAGTTATGGGGCTGGGCACGAAGGGAGGTGATGGAGATCAGTGGAGGCTGTAGCATCTTCTCCCCTTAGCGATAGTGGGGTACCAGGCTGCTGAGGTCCCCTTGTGCGATGCAAAGACACCAACCACCCCATTGGATGGGCTGACCTGAGACGTTACAGGAGGGGGAGATGCGGGGCTGTCTCTGAGGTGACCCCATCCCAATCCCCACTTGCCTTGCAGTGAAGAGCGAGGACGAAGACGGCGGCCACTCGCACGGCAAAGGCAGCGAGGAGAGCAAGGACCACAAGCGCTCCAAGCGCCCGCGCACCATCCTCACCACGCAGCAGCGCCGAGCCTTCAAGGCCTCCTTCGAGGTTTCCTCGAAGCCCTGCAGAAAGGTAGAAGGAGCCCGGGGGAGCCTTTGGAGGCCTGGAGGCTCTGAAATGCAGCTTCAGGTCTGATGCAGCTCTCTGGGGTTTGGGGACAGGTACGAGAGACCCTGGCAGCCGAGACGGGCTTGACCGTGCGCGTGGTGCAGGTCTGGTTCCAGAACCAAAGAGCCAAGGTGAGCGAGGGCTTCCCATGCCACGGGGTCCCAACCGTGCTTGTTCAGTCGAAAGGGAGCAAGGAGCAGCTTAGGGACAGAAGGGGAGGTGAGAGGAACAGAGGGAGCAAAGCGTGGTCCGACCTCGCCTCACAACACGGACCCAGGAGCAGCAACAGCTTGAAGTGAAATACAAACCCCTGCTAGTTACAGACCGTAGGATCACAAAGTGGCTTGGGAGGGACCTTAAAGCTCATCCAGTTCCAACCCCCTGCCATGGGTAGGGACATCTTCCACTGGAGCAGCTCGCTCCACCCTGGCCTTGAGCACTACCGGGGATGGAGCATCCCAACCTTCTCCATTCGACCCATCCCAGTGTCCCATCATGGGGGAGGGCTCGCCTCCATCTCCCCTCTGGCACGTTAAAGCCATTCCCCCTTGTCCCATCCCTCCATCCCTTACCCAAAGGCCCTCTCCAGGTTCCCTGTAGCCCCTTTAGGCCCTGCAGAGCCTGCACTCGGAGGGGCTGAACAGGGTTAGAGCACGGCAGGGCTGGGTCCACGGGGAAGGCAAGCAGCCGCTGTCGCTGCGGTGCCAAGCACAGCTCCCTCCCTCAGTCAGGCCCTCAGACCCGGGCTCCCCATCCCCATCCCCATCCCCATCCCCATCCGCATCCCTATCCCCATCCCCATCCCCATCCCCATCCCCATCCCCATGCCCGTCCCCATCCCCATCCGCATCCCCATCCCCATCCCCATCCCCATGCCCGTCCCCATCCCCATCCCCATGCCCGTCCCCATCCCCATCCCCATCCGCATCCCTATCCCCATCCCCATCCGCATCCCTATCCCCATCCCCATCCCCATCCCCATCCGCATCCCCATCCCCATCCCCATCCGCATCCCTATCCCGCATCCCCATCCCCATCCCCATCCGCATCCCCATCCCCATCCCCATGCCCATCCGCATCCCCATCCCCATCGCCATCCCCATCCCCATCCCCATCCCCATCCCCATCGCCATCCCCATCCCCATCCCCATGCCCGTCCCCATCCGCATCCCCATCCCCATCCCCATCCGCATCCCCATGCCCATCCGCATCCCCATCCCCATCCCCCCCATCCCCATCCCCATCCCCATCCCCATCCCCATCCCCATCCCCATCCCCATCCCCATCCCCATCCCCATCCCCATCCGCATCCCCATCCCCTTGCAGATGAAGAAGATTGCCCGCAGGCAGCAGCAGCAGCAGCAGCAGCAGCAGCAGGAGCAGGAGCAGTTGGGCAACCCTCGCCTGGGCGCCGGCAGAGGCACCGGTCGCAATAGCAGGCAGAGCAACGACGACAGCGAAGGTGAGGAGCTCGGGGGGCTGCAGGCTGGGATGGAAGGGCTTGACCTGGGTGCATGGGAGAGGGGATGCCCGAGGAGATGAGCAAAGTCACGCAGGGCGTACCACAATCGGTACCTACAAGCTGGAGCAAGGAGTCGTGGCGCAGCACCTGCCTCCCGGTTGTCATGGAATCAACCAGGTTGGAAACGAGCTTCCAGCTCATCCAATCCAACTTTCATCCCGGCTCTCCCGAGGCCACCACTAACCCACGGCACTTCCAACGTTCCAATGCCTCTTCCAAGGCCTGACCACCCTCTGGGGAAGGAATCGTTCCTCATCTCCATCTCAACCTCCCTTGGTGCAGCTTTGTTCCCTCTTGTCCTACCACTTCAGAGAAGACAATGGGGTTTTTCCTGTTGCATGCTGCTCAGGGAAGTGGTGAACGCTCCATCCCTGGCAGAGCTCTTGGGCGCCGTGGTCCATCCCTGCCCACGAGGTCCTTTCCGCCCCAAACCCTTCCATGGTTCTATGAACACACGGAGCTCAGCGCTGCGTGGTGCTGCTGCCGTGACTGGCCCGGGGCCCTGAGCACCCTTGGTTTCAACCCATCCCACTGCTCGTGTCTTTAGACAGCGCCAGCGTTCCCGGCTTGGATGGGCTCCTGGTTCCCTACCCCAGGATCCCCCAGCAGCAGCTCCTGCCCCTGGACCAGAACGGCTACAGCACAGACCTGTACAGACAAGGGCTCACCCCTCCCCAGCTGCCAGGAGACCACCTGCACCCCTACGGTAGGAGCCTGCCCAGGAGCTCCCTGCACCCGAGCTGCACGTCCGAGCCCAAGCGGTGCCAAGCAGCCAGGGCTTGGCCTTCGTGCTGAGCCCTTCCCAGCAGCTTGGGCTCCTGCCGTGTTCACCCCCGTTCCCCTTTTCCTTCCTCTTCCAGACTCGGAAGGGGTCTTTCACGACATGGACAGCGACAGCATCAGCCACCTGGGGGACTGCCTGCTCGCCACGCCTGAAGCCAACCTCCTCCAAGCCCGCGTGGGCAACCCCATCGACCGCCTCTACTCCATGCAGAGCTCCTACTTCACATCCTGACCGTGGAGAAGCCGCCAGCCCTTCGCTGAGGATCCCCAGTGGATGCTGCTCCCTCGTCAGAGCGAGCCTGGGGGAGAAGAACCAAGGCTGAGACCTTCGGAGACCTTCCTTGAACGGAAGAGGCAACTCCATCCCGTCCAAGCACGAACTCGCGGGGTCCTCGCAGAGCCTCAAGGACTTTGGAGCGCCCCTCTCCCCTTTTCTAGCCACGAGTAGACCCATGCTATGATGTTGTTTAGCTGTACCTTTAGCAGTGTGTCCAGTGTTGAAGCTTTTGAGCATCGTGTCCTGCGAGCAAAGCCTGGCCACCGCTCCCCAGAGCCGCCCCTAGAAGCAGGAGGAGCCGCCAGGCCCCTTCATTGAAGCCTTGGTTGCAGCTTGCCACGCTCCTTTGCCTCGGTTCCCAACGCAGACGCGGGCTGGGACTTGCAACAGGGAAATCCAAGGGGCTGGGGCATGGCTAAGGGATGCTCCTGCTGCTCCCCGGGGTTCTCCGTGTGCCCCAACGCTGCCCACGCGGCGACGCGCGTCCATCACCCATCCCCGTGCCACGGGGCAGGCGAGTCACAAGAAGTGCTGCTTTGTACCCACTAAGAGGGCAAGAAAGAGCGAGCTCAGAATGGAAGTCTCTGTTGTCACCCAGGGCAAGCTCTGTTGTCACCCAGGGGAACCTCTTCATTCTCCTGCCCAGGCTGGCCTTTCATTCTTTCCATGGGTGAAGGAGAGCTGGCATTCAAGGCCGGGTTTTCCCAGGAGCCTAAGAGCACGCCAGCAGAAGGAATGCCCGCCTGCCCTCCTCTGTGTGAGCTGAACACAGGACTCCCAAAGGGAACGGTGACTCCTTCCCAACCTGGCATCTCCAGAGCTGGAGCGCGGTGATGCAGCCCCGGAGCTGCTGGCTCTCTACGTGGGGCACACCCGAGCCTCCCCACGCTGGTTTTGAAGGTGTGTAGCCTCTCCAACGCGAAAGCAATGCCCCATTCTTGCTGTCTGCAGGCGCAGAGGCCCAAGCAGAGCCCTGAGCAGCACCCCACGCTCGCTTCACCTTTAATAAAGCTTTGTGAACGTGACCCGTGCTCGTGTGCAGTCACTTCCCATTGCCCCTGCAGCGCCCCGGGCTCTGCTCTTGCTACCAGATGATGCCTCTCCCCAGAGACATCTCCTCCTGTACGTAGCCTAGGGGCACTCACCCACTGCATCCTCACCCTCTCTTCCTTGTGACCCCCAGGGCTGCGCTGTGCCCATGGGCTTTCCTTTGCATGTACATTGGAAAACCATCACCATAATGCGACTAATAAAGCAAACTGGAAGTGCAAACCTGAAGCTTGTCCCAGCCATGAGCAGCCCACTGCCCCCTTTGCAGTCCCACCAAGGTCGGCCTGAGCATCCATGGCCTCTCCCAGGCACCCTGGAGCAAAGGAGCAAGCGGTGTCGGTGGCTGCTCGTGCCTTAAGAGGCAGCAGACCCCGGAGCAGGAGGGAGGCAGCTGCAAGAGGAGCCAGCATCCCAACGTGAATAAATGCTTGGCTAGACCTGGAGCTCCAGAGCCTTGGGGAGGCAGCAGGAGGGCAGCGAGCGTTACATGGGAAGAGGCAGAAGGAGCTTCACGTAGGTACCGGGGAGGGAGAGGAGCCTTTGGCAGCCTGGGGATAGCAACACCCATCCCTGAGCTCCCGGGGGCATCAGGGATGCAGGGCTGCATCACCTGAGGGGGGAAATGGGAGAGGAACGGAGTAAATCACACACAGGCTTTGGGGCAACAGCAGCAGCTCTGGGGCAGGGTCAAGAGGCACAAGAACCGCTCTCCTCGTGCTTAGGACACGCAAGGAAGGGCTGGGAATGCCCTGGGATCACAGCCACGAGAGCAAAGGCGACTGAAAGGGGACGAACGCTCCCCCCCCTCAGCCCACACCACTGCCCTCCTGCTCGCTCCAAAGCCTCTCTGGACCACGGCCAACTAAAGCAAGACGTGTGTGTGTGCATGGAATGTGCCCCCCTCGTCCCCGTCTCACCCCCCCGCCCCAAGCATCCCGTGCCCTCCGCAGGTGCCCGCTGCAGAGCCAGGCCTGCCAGCAGCACTAAATCTCTTGCAAGCACCGAAGGCAGGCGCTGATTTATGGGCTCCTTTCAGACAGGGAAGCCGAGTGGAAAACGAGCCCGTTTTCTGGATGAAAAATGAAAGAGCTGCTCGGGCTCCGTCCCCGTTCGAGGGCTCCGGTGCAATTCCCCTGATTGGCTTTCAAGTTCCACTCGAAAGGAGAAGTGACAGCACCAGGAGTTACAGCAAAGGAGCCCCCCCCCCCCCCAGCCCGCTTCACTTTGCATCCAGAGCGATGGAAAGCAAGGAGAAGTGGAGGTAAAGCGAGGCAGAGACGTAACTGCGCTGCTCATCCTAGCTCAGGGCCTCAGCGCTGCCTGCAGGCTTCCATCCCTCCTCCTTCCTTGCTCAGTGGTTGCGAGGTGAGGAAATAAGAGGCATGGACCATGGTCAAGCCCAGCTTCCAAGGCCACGCAGAGCCGGGGGGGGGGTTAAAGCAGAAGGCTGCTGACACCCAGCTCGCTGCAGCACGAGGCAAACCCCCCCATTTAACCCCAAAGCAGCATTGGGAACCATTAACAGGCATTAAAACCAGACCCGGGAGCTGGAAACCAAGCAAAGCCCATGGCAAAGACAGGAACCTGGTGGCACCCCAAGAGTGGATCCTTTACAAGGCTTAACCCCCACTGAGAACACCTGATGCTGCTGCCTTAACACGTCTCAGAACTCGCTCCTTTGGGCTCTGCTCCTCAGCACTGTGGTTCTCTATCAGTTCTGAGGCTGGTTTGTGTCTGGGAGGCCGGGGCAGCCCAATCCTGCCCCAAACCTCTTGGTTTTCCACCCCAAGTCTGCCCCTTTGGGGAAACCAGCTCATTCCCTTCTCTATTTGATTCACTGCAGCCTTTGGTGGTAAAGCTGAACCTCCCAGCCTCACGGACTGCCTGGGGACTTCTCCCCCTTGCTCAGTGAATCCATAAGCCTGTCCTACCCAAACGAAGGGGCATGAGGCAGTATCACAGCCCAGGAGATGAAGAAGGGGCTTCCTTCTGCTTGGCAATGCCACAAGCAGCTGTGACTGCCCCTCTGGGTTTATTCCAGCAGGAGCAGGTAGCACATAAAGAGTTAGAAAGGAGAAAGAGCTGCAGATCTGCTCCAGGCTGGATCAGCACCTTCCTCTTCCCCTTTCTCCCTAGGACCCCCGTGTGGGTGGCTCGAGGCTGACAACGCCAAGTGCTTGGCAGCTCAGTGGTTAACGTGTAAGAGCAGGCAATAATGGAGTGGCTCAGGCAGAACTGGGCTTAAGAGGGGCCCCGGTGCACCTTAAACCTAATGAAAAATGGCTTTTGTGCTGCCAGCCTGACATTTCAATACAGTGTCAACACCACGCAAAGCACCCTCGCTCCCACCAACTGCATCCTTAATAAAGCTATTCACACCCCAGCCCCTCCTGACCCATGGGGTGCTGCCTCCAACCCCCGTGTCCTCCTCCTTTCCTGCTTGCCTTTGCCCACCATAAAGCAGCTCTTTAGGTCTCAAGCTCCCCCCCTCCAGCAGCTGCTAAAAGGCAGCCAAGAGCTTCCTGATGTTTGTGCAGATGTTTGCAGACGGGAGCCCAGCATCTTTGGATGTTCCCATGGCCACTGCGAGCCAAAGAGCTGACTTTGTGACTGGGGCTCTGCTAGAAGCTGGACCCCATCGACTTCAACCTGCTGTCCCTCTCCCCAAAGGAGTTAAAGCTCTGTATGGAGCTGGAGAAGGCCCAGCGATGCTTGCCAGCCACCAAGAGGCTCAAAGGGAACACTTGGACGTAACGCCTGGCTGAACCACCACCGAGGATTAATGGGTAGGAACTGCTGGGAAGCAGGGCAAAGCCAAGTTCCAGGCCTCACCCTCTCTTAGAGGTACAAACCCCACCTCACAAACCCAGCGAAGCCGGGCTGCTACGTCCAGAGAAGGAGGCTGCTGCTGTTTCTGGGGGTCATCTGCTCCCTGCACACCTCTTCAACGGCTCTGCTCTGGAAGACCAAGCTCCTACTCCAGAGATGTTCCTCTGAAGCTGCAGTTGTGTGACCAAGGCACAGAAACTCATTTCTCCTTCCTTGAATCTTGTTCCCAACCGTTTAAACCTTTGCTGGCAGAGATTCCCTGCCCGCTTGAAGGGACATTGGAGCTGCTCTAAGGGCTCCCCTTCAGGAGCCTTCTCTTCTCCAGGCTGCCCCAGCCCAGCTCCCTCAGCCTGGCTCCAGAGCAGAGCTGCTCCACTACCCTGGGGCATCTCCATGGCCTCCTCTGGACTTCCTCCAACAGCTCCACTTACACTGGTGAGCCCAAAGGTCTCCCTGCACAGAAGCACTCACCAGGTCACCCCACTCATCATGACACCATCTATTGCTCCTTGTCTCTTCTTCCCCACTAGTTACAGCCCAGAAACCAGCTCTCCTTAGAGCTGGGCTCTGCTCCCCTGCACAGGAAGCCGCGTTGTGCTGTTGCTAGGGCAAGCAGTGCTCTCCCATCAGCAGGTTTCTGCCCTCTCTGCTGCGGGAAGACTCCCTCTGCTGTTCTAAACCAGGAGGAGAGCCGGGCTCCAGCCCCTCACAGCATCCCCCCAGCCTGGGAGCTGCACAGGGTGTTTCCAAGTGGCTCAAGCCAACCTTTATAAGCCAAGCAAGCAGCTCAGAGAGCAGCTTCCGTCATCAGTGGGATAAAGCCAGACCTGGCTTTGGATGTCAGAAAGGAGGGTTTTGTTCTTTTATTGGGATGAAGGAAAACATTGTGCTGAACGAGCAAAGTGTTGGAGAAGACAGGCTGCAGAGAAAGAGAGAAGGGCTGATTTCTGCTTTGGGTTCCTATTCAAGGCCATCTGCAGGTCGCAGCTGATCCTTTGGTGTCGCTTCACCCCAGTTCTGTCATTCATTTACTTATCAAGCTTTTAGAGGCAACTCAGCAAGCAAACCCCATCGTTAGCAGCACCCTTGTATGGTGACAATCCCAGTCAGGGTCCAGTTGGTTGCTGGAGCCAAGCCCAGCGTGCCCCCAACTGAGAATCCCACCTTGCAGAGCTGCACCTTGCTCTTCAGAGGGGCTCAACCAACCCAACCCAGCAGCAGCACCAGAGTCCAGAGCACACAAAGACTTCTCATTCACTCCTCAAGACGAATTCTGCTTCCAGGGCTCCCCTGTGGAAAAACACAAAGAGCACAAATAAAAGCATCAGGTCGGCTCCGTGTGGATGCAGCACCGCAGCAGATCACAGCCCATGACCACGGGAGGTGATTTCAGGGTGCTTAGTAACATGTTATTTGCTTTAATGCTCTTCCATGTTAGGTTAGATGTCAAGTTCTTCCCCATAAGGGTAGTGGAACACTGGGATGGGTTGAACAGCATAGGTCTGGATGCTCCATCCCTCGCGGCGTTCAAGGCCAGGTTGGAGCAAGCTGCTCTAATGGAAGGTGCCCCTGCCCATGGCAGGGGGTTGGAGCTGGAGGAGCTTTAAGGTCCCTTCCAACCCAACCCATTCCAGGCCTCTATGGGTTCTACTGCCCCTGTTTCACCCAGCAACCCCCAAGCATCAGGGACTGAGAGACCCAGACCCCGCTCTGCAGCTCAGCACCCACCTCACGTGGAGATGACACAGAGAGGAAGGCATTGACGTGCTCTATGGGTTCTACTGCCCCTGTTTCACCCAGCAGCCCCCAAGCACCAGGGACTGAGAGCCCCAGACCCCGCTCTGCACCCCAGCACCCACCTCACGTGGAGACCTTCACCCTGTCTGCGCAGAGCAGGAAGGCACTGACGTGCTCTATGGGTTCTACTGCCCCTGTTTCACCCAGCAGCCCCCAAGGACTGAGAGCCCCAGACCCCGCTCTGCACCCCAGCACCCACCTCACGTGGAGATGACACAGAGAGGAAGGCATTGACGTGCTCTATGGGTTCTACTCCCCCTGTTTCACCCAGCAGCCCCCAAGGACTGAGAGCCCCAGACCCCGCTCTGCACCCCAGCACCCACCTCACGTGGAGACCTTCACCCTGTCTGCGCACAGCAGGAAGGCGTTGACGTGCTCTATGGGTTCTGCTCCCCCTCTTTAACCCAGCAGCCCCCTAGCACCAAGTACTGAGAGACCCAGACCCTGCTCTGCAGCTCAGCACCCACCTCACGTGGAGACAGCACACAGCAGGAAGGCACTGACGTGCTCTATGGGTTCTACTCCCCCTGTTTCACCCAGCAGCCACCAAGGACTGAGAGCCGCAGACCCCGCTCTGCACCCCAGCACCCACCTCACGTGGACACCTTCACCCTGTCTGCGCAGAGCAGGAAGGCATTGACGTGCTCTATGGGTTCTACTGCCCCTGTTTCACCCAGCAGCCCCCAAGGACTGAGAGCTGCGGACCCCGCTCTGCACCCCAGCACCCACCTCACGTGGAGATGACACAGCAGGAAGGCATTGACGTGCTCTATGGGTTGTTTCACCCAGCAGCCCCCAAGGACTGAGAGCCCCAGACCCCTGCTCTGCACCCCAGCACCCACCTCACGTGGAGACAGCACACAGCAGGAAGGCATTGACGTGCTCTATGGGTTTTACTCCCCCTGTTTCACCCAGCAGCCCCCAAGGACTGAGAGCTGCGGACCCCACTCTGCACCCCAGCACCCACCTCACGTGGAGACCTTCACCCTGTCTGCGCAGAGCAGGAAGGCGTTGACGTGCTCTATGGGTTCTACTGCCCCTGTTTCACCCAGCAGCCCCCAAGCACCAAGGACTGAGAGCCCCAGACCCCGCTCTGCACCCCAGCACCCACCTCACTCTTTAACCCAGCAGCCCCCAGGGACTGAGAGCCCCAGACCCTGCTCTGGAGAGCCTTTCACCCAGCAGCCCCCAAGGACTGAGAGCTGCGGACCCCGCTCTGCACCCCAGCACCCACCTCACGTGGAGACCTTCACCCTGTCTGCGCAGAGCAGGAAGGCGTTGACGTGCTCTATGGGTTCTACTGCCCCTGTTTAACCCAGCAGCCCCCAAGGACTGAGAGCCCCAGACTTCACCCACTGACGCAGAGCAGGAAGGCCATGCCTATGGTTCTCCCGCAGAGCAGACCCTGCTCTGCAGCTCAGCACCCACCTCACGTGGAGAAGGCAGCGAAAGGGCTCGTTCTACTCCCCCTGTTTCACCCAGCAGCCCCCTGCCGGATGCGCTGCACAGCACCCACCTCACATGGGCTGCGGGCAGAGAGGAAGGGGGGGGTCCTGAGCTCCGCGGAGCCCGGCGCTAAGCGGGGCTCCCCCCCCCAGGCCCAAACCCGGCCCCGTGCCCGCACTCACTGCCCGGAGGCGCAGCGGGACATGCTCAGGCGCAGCCGGTGACAGTCGCGCTGCCAGGAGGCCGGGCTGGCGGCCACGCACCGCCCGTACTGCTCCAGCTCCGAGCGGCAGTAGCGAGCCGTGATCTCCAGGGCCGCCTCCCTGCGGGGACGCGGAGCCGTGACGGCGGGGACAGCGGGACAGGCCCCGCTCCGGACCCGCCTCCAGGCCCAGGCCCCAGGCCAGGCCCAAACAGGGCCCCGGTCCCGGACCCAGACCCAGACCCGATCCCCGCCCCGGCCCAAAGAAAGCCTCGGCCCCGGGCCCGTGGAGACCCACCCTGTCCCCGGACTGACGTGCTCGCTGCACTTCACCACTGCCGCCTGGTTCTCCCCGACTCTAGTTGCCGGTTCGGGCGGCAGGGGGGGGGTCCTGAGCTCCGCGGATCCCTATCCCGAACCCGGGTCCCTATGCCCGGAGGCGCGCGATCAGGCGCCCGGTGATCCCTATCCCTGTCCCTGTCCCGGTCCCGATCCCGGTCCCTATCGCGATCCCGATCCCTATCCCTGTCCCTGTCCCGGTCCCGATCCCGGTCCCTATCGCGATCCCGATCCCTATCCTTGTCCCTGTCCCGGGCCCGGACCCATCCCTATCCCTATCCCGATCCCGATCCCGATCCCGGTCCCTATCGCGATCCCGATCCCTATCCCTGTCCCTGTCCCGGTCCCGATCCCGGTCCCTATCCCAATTCCTATCCCGATCCCAATTCCGATCCCTATCCCCATCCCTATCCCTATCCCGATCCCAATCCCTGTCCCCATCCCGATCCCGGTCCCAATCCCTATCCCGATCCCTATCCCAATCCCTATCCCGATCCCTATCCCAATCCCGATCCCCGTCCCGATCCCCATCCCAATCCCTATCCCGATCCCGATCCCCATCCCAATCCCTATCCCGATCCCTATCCCCATCCCCGTCCCTATCCCGATCCCCATCCCCATCCCAATCCCTATCCCGGTCCCCATCCCAATCCCGATCCCCGTCCCGATCCCCATCCCAATCCCTATCCCGATCCCTATCCCCATCCCCGTCCCGATCCCAATCCCCATTCCGGTCCCTATCCCGATCCCCATCCCTATCCCCATCCCTATCCCATCCCTACCCCATCCCCATCCCCATCCCCATCCCGATCCCGATCCCCCCCCACACCTCCCCACCACTCACATCCCCCCGCCGCTCCAGCCGGCCGTGCCGCAGCGCGCATGCGCGGCGGAAGCGGAAGCGGAAGCACGAAGCACCGGGTCGCTCCCTCCGTGTCGGTGGGAAGATGGCGGCGGCCGGCCCCGGGGACGAGCTGGTCTCGTCGGTAACGCTGTACCGGCGGCGGCCGCGGCTGCTGCACGGCACCGTGCTGCCCTTCGTGGCCGGCCTCTACCCGGCCTGGCTCTGGCTGTGGGGGCCGCGCGTGTGGGCCGCGTGGGGCGGCGAGGCGGCGGCGGCGGAGGAGGATGAGGGAGGCCCAGGCCCCGCTGCCCCGGAGGCCGCGTTGCTGGCGCTCGCCGCCATCGGTGTGCTCCATCTGCTGACGGCGCTGTCGGGGCTGTGGTCGGTGCACGCTCACTGCGCCCTCACCTGCGTCCGGGTGAGGCCCCCTGCGCGCTCCGGCTCCCCGGGGGGAGGCTCTGCAGGGGAGCGGGGAAGCGTTCCTGCCGTTAACGGGGCTCGGGCCGGGGTCGGGGGGGAAGGAGATGTGCGGGGAGCTCAGGGCACGGCCCGGTGCCTCTGCTGCGCCCTTGGAGCAGGGCTGGGTGCTGTTTGCAGGCGCTGTTGGGGCTGGGTCCTGCTGGCAGGTGCCCCGAGTGAAGCGTGTTGGGTTTATCCAGGGCTGGGATCGTTGGGATGTCGTTGATTCCAGCAGCGGGGCGATGGTGCCAGAGGGATGTGGAGCTGTTGGAGTGAGGCCGTGGAGGTGCTGGGAGGGATGGAGCAGCTCTGCTCTGGAGCCAGGCTGAGAGAGCTGGGCTGGGGCAGCCTGGAGAAGAGAAGGGTCCTGAAGGGGAGACCTGAGAGCAGCTCCAGTGCCTGAAGGGGCTGCAGGAAACCCGGAGAGGAGCTTGGGATGAGGGATGGAGGGGCAGGATAAGGGGAATGGCTTTAACCTGCCAGAGGGGGGATGGAGATGGGATCTTAGGCACAAGCTCTTCCCTGTGGGGTGGTGGGACACTGGGATGGGTTGAATGGAGAGAGTTTGGATGAACCATCCCTGTTCAAGGCCAGGTTGGAGCCAGCTGCTCCAGTGGAAGGTGTCCCTGCCCATGGCAGGGGGCTGGAACTGGATGAGCTTTAAGGTCCCTTCCCACCCAAACCATTCTGGGACGCCCCTGGCGTCTCGAAGGGAGGATTCCTCCCAGCCCATTGAATTCCGGGCTCTGGGATGTGCTTTCTGAAGCGTCTCTTGCTTGTGTTGCAGGAACCTTGCCCGAAGAAAGCCACGTTGGCCAAAGTCGTGCCAACCCCAAACAACGGCTCGGTGGAACTGGTGCCACTGCACAGAGACCAGGTGAGGACGTGCTGAGCGCAGGAGCTGCTGCGTGCTGCTGTCAGCTGCAGCTTTAGGAGCTTCTACCTGAAGCTCTTGGTCAGAAATCACCTGAGGGGGGTGATGAAGGGATCCACAGTGTTCCCTGGCCATAAAGCAGAGTCATACAATCGGGTGGGATGTCTTTCCTTCATCAGGTTCTGTGTGGAGCGAAGCCTTTGGTGTTTGTTCACTTTGGGTTTTCTCCCCAATCTCTTCAGGGGGAGGATGGGCAGGAGGCTCTTTCCTTTGAATTCCAAAAAATCAAATACTCCTATGAGCTGGATGGCAAGAAGCAGTTCCTCCCTGTCGCTTTCCCTGTGGAACATCCCCTTTGTTACTACCAGAACGCCCGAGGCTATCAGGAAGACAAAGATATCCGAGCAGCTGAGAAGAAATATGGGACAAACAAGTAAGTTTTCCAAGCACAGAGCTCTCCTTGCCAGGGTATCCCAGTCAGGACCAACAGCCTTGAACCTTGAAGTTTCACTTCCTCCCAGCACTCCCAGTTCCTTTAAGGACATCAGCCCAAAGGGTTTCCTCAAGGGTGGGCTTGAGATGGAGATTAACTGCATCTCCCCGCACCAACGTCATTGAAAAGAGGGAGCTGCTGACTGTGATGGAGCCTGCAGGTGGCTTCTGGGCTGGGCTTGTGCTGAGGGTGTGGAATGCTGAGGTTCAGACGGATTCCGTTCTTTCCCAGGGCTGAGATGGTGGTGCCGGAGTTCCTGGAACTCTTTAAAGAAAGGGCTACAGCTCCCTTCTTCGTTTTCCAGGTAACAAACCAGCTTGTCCCTGCTAGGAAACGGGAGAAGTCCTTTCAGTTCCTGCCTTGAGAGCCATAAATCAGCTGGCAGCTTCCTAAACCCAGGAGAAGATGCTATGCTTGCACTGTAACTTTGATTGGCCTTCAGAAAGTGCCTCCCCCTAATGACTTCCCGTGGTCCTCGGGTTTTGTGGCCCCCTGCAATGAAACGTGGTCCAAGTTAGCTCCAGAAAGAATTCCTGGAACTGGGAGGCTTTTGGTTTCGGAGTGGGATGAGACCAACTTGAGCGTTCTGTTCCTCTGCAGGTGTTCTGTGTGGGCTTGTGGTGCCTGGATGAGTACTGGTATTACAGCGTGTTCACCCTCTCCATGTTGGTTGCATTTGAAGCTTCTCTGGTCCAGCAGCAGATGAGGAACATGTCTGAGATCCGGAAGATGGGCAACAAGCCGTACATGATCCAGGTGATGGAAAGCTCACAGGATGGGCACGGAATTCTTGCTGTCTTTTTAGCTCATTTGTTGTTCCTTTACCCCCCTCCCCACCTTTTTTCCTCTTATCCCTTTCTGAAGGGTGCAGAGCTCCTCAAGGTGCTTTCTTGTCCCTGCAGGTTTACAGGAACCGTAAGTGGCGCCCCATTTCCAGTGACGAGATCATCCCAGGGGATATTGTCTCCATTGGTAAGGATGTGCATGATGGTTGCAACCAAAAGCTGCTTTCAGATGGGGTTCTTTCCAGTGGGATGCAGTGTGCAGCCTCAGATTCCCAGAATTCCAGACTGGTCCAGGTCGGAAAGGACCTTAAAGCTCCTCCACGTCCAACCCCCTGCCATGGGCAGGGACACTTTCCACTAGAGCAGGTTGCTCCAAGCCCTTTAGGCACTGGAATCTGCTCTAAGGTCTCCTGGAGCCTTCTCTTCTCCAGGCTGAACCCAGCCTGTGTCCAGAGCAGAGCTGCTCCAGCCCTCAGAGCATCTTCATGGCCCTCGTCCTCCTGGGACACAAGCTCTTCCTAGAGTGGGAAGAGGAATGGGAAGCTCTCTCTTAACCTGCTCTCCCTTTGAAGGCTGCATT